CTAGACATTCACCATATGAAGGCACTAGTTTCTTATTAGTAAAAAAATTTTTAAAAAAATGGGACAAAATTGTTATTTGAGACAGATATTTACATTTACAGTTTTGGTTTAACTAGTTTTATTGATTGATAGGTGTTTAATATCCAGCGATTAATAGAACATACACATTTCGTTTGAATTTACCTTGTTATTGTATTTGACTCACAGGACGACAACACCGGGTATATGAAAAACAGCACTGTCTAAATCCAGCCGTATACGTTTTCGGATGAGCACATGCATTATTTCTAAATGATAAATAGATGAACTACTGAGAACTTTGTCAAATTGTTCCTAGGTCAGTAATGATGCATCCCTCCTACGCCAAATCAAATCTCCAACTGAGTGTATTTAAGTATTGGTTATTTAGTAAATATGTTAATTAATGTCCTGAGCCGGCATATGTATACAGTATTATAGAAAAAAAACATAAGCTCTGAAAAAGATGGTAAAACAGTGTGTAGACGCAAGAAAGAGCATTCAATCGTACGAAAAGTTTCCTCAATTTAAGGTCGGCACTAAATTTGTGTTACTTTGTTCAGAACAAATAGTAATAGCCTTTGAAGACTTGAAGTCCTATTTGTGATAACTTTATTCCTATTTGATTTGCCGTGGCTATTGGATCAAGCCAACAACATATATATAGCCTATAAGAAGGCCATTAGCCGTCAAAAACATGTACACCGATTTTACTCAAATTTCCATATTCATGATCAATTTGTTTAAGGTCGTTTCATGAATCCCCGTTCAGGTCCTAGTTTTGGTTCCAAGAAAATAATTTTCATTATTTGTTTTTTTAGTTTTGATAAAGAATTATACTGTTAATTTAACAACATCTTAACTAACGACAATCCATTGAAATATAAAAAAGAAATTAAAGTTTGAATAAGTTTCACGGTAGAATTCAGACAGGGTCTTTTCATTTCCCCGTGCAGGTCCGACTTTTGGTATAAAGAATAGAAGTATTATTTTTCGGTCCTTGCTTGGAAGTTGACTACTAGAAACAGAGGGTCTGAAATAGGTTCGAAAATAAAGATATGCAAAAATCGTCGTTCAAAATTTGAAATATTTAAAGTGTATTAGTTTGATCGTCTCCTTTAAAAACAAAACAGACGGTATAAAAGTGGACAATTCAAACCTATCCAAAACCTGAAAATGTTGGGTGCATTAGGAATTTATATACCCATTTGGCTTTTTACTAGTTTTCGGCATCCGTCTACCAGCAAAAGAACGGAGACTTTTTATATTTTACCGTACGATGTTGGGTCAACGGTATTCTTGTGAGGCAAACTGCATACATCTTTTGAACGTACATTCTGATTTAATTTTCATTCTAAAGTTTTTAACGTTTGTTCTTCTCGTTTAACATGGTTAATCCACTTTTCTTATCGTTCTGAATATGCAAGACATATATGCCACGTTAAGGAGGCAATGCATCAATCAGCTCTATTTAGTGATTATGACCTTGATACTTGTTAGTATTTAATAGAAAATTGTCTCAAAAAGACCTCCTCTTTTTGATATTTGATTTTTTAAGTGGCATTTTCAGTAGATTTGAAAAGTTTCAATTTGTTTTTAAATAGAAAGGTACAAGGACTTCTTTGTCCTATATATGAAAAAATACAAAAACATTTAATGAAAATTAAAAGAATCGAGTTATTTTTATCTGAAATAAAAAGTTGCTGATGGTTACGTCACAACCAGCTGAATATTACAAACAACTCAATATGACGGTTCCTTTGTTTTGGATTGTCAACGGTACAAATTAGAAAATAAAAATGTTGACGAGTTGAAGAGAGTCTAGCAACAGAAAATTGAACTGTTTCATTATCATGTGTTTCCAGACCAGTAATTGGATGATAATTGAATCGTTAAACGTTTGCATGATTTTTTAGCTTTTTTTCCCCATTAGAAAGAATATCTACAATGGCGTTTTGCATTTTATTTGCTTGTTAAACGTATAGTACAGCTGTTCAATTTATTTACAAGTAGTCTACTCATTGAAATATGTATTAACACTTGTCTATTATCAAAGTCCGTTTATTGATCTCAATATCTGTTAATATCTCTTAATAATGTTGATATCAATATCGATAATATTGATCTCAATATCTGTTAATAATGTTGTCGAACTATTGTAGACGTATCTTTGGTTACCCCAAACCTCCTTTTAAAAAATAATGTGATAAAGAGTTATATTATACAATATCCTGGCAAGCTAGAAGAAGGAGAATAGAACCGACAAAATCTTCATTGAGGGGCAATAAATCCTATATGAATGCGCATAACAATCTCAGTCATGTTGACAGATTTGCAGATTCAAGTTTCTATTTATCTTTTATAGTTTTCACAAAAGCAGCAATGGATTAAATTGTCTATAAGGTCAATCATTTCAATAAGGAGTCAGCTGACGATTTGACCCGTTTTACTTGTTTGTAGATCTTGTCTTGCTTACAATTTTTTGGGTTTAAAGTGTTTCCTTATCTATAACTGTCTCAGCAAAATACGTAAAAATGGGTACTAATCATCAATGAAGGCGACTGACAATTTCAGCCACGTCACTTATTTGTAAATCAAAATTTTCAAATATTACTGTTTTGAATTTTTCTCTATATATAACATTTTTATGATGGTACCCTAAGATGCAATATTTATGATGTCGTTATTGAAAGGCAAATCTCCTGTAGGTTGTCAATTTACGATTTTGTTCATATCGACTTATTTGCAGATTTTGTCTTGTTGATCATGTTTGACTTTCTCAGTTTGTCTCTGTCATCAAGATAGGTGGGATATCAGGGACGAATGGCGGGAATTTGCATTACTGTCAATGAAAATAATGTTATGCTTGAAAGGGAGTATGCATTGTTCCTTGTAACAGGCGAAATACGGACCCACCCCGTAAAGAGTTGGTCAAAGGGTTATATAAAGTGCCATGTTTATTTCTTGATATTTGCAACAAGTTTAATGTCACATTAACTTAGTTAAATAGTAATACAAATATAAAATACACAACAAATTTTATATATATATTTAAAACTTGACCTTTTGTGCCGGATTAGTTAACCTGTTTAGAATTCATTGTTTAAAAACACTAGAGCAAAAACGCACATGTTTGTAGTTAACAAATTGTTTGATCAGATTAAACCATTTTAGTAAGTATTATATACTTTTCATTGGTAATTATGTCTCAGAAACAAAAGTTTATAGAAATAAAGTGTTTTTAAATCAAAGAAAATATAATAGAAAAAAATCAACATATGATTTGATACCAACATACTTAAAATTACTTGATGTAAAACAAAACAGTGCCGGACTATGTTCATTTTAGTCTCAAAATATAATAAAAAAAATATTTTTGTTTATTTATACATAGAAAAATATCAAAAAATCAGGAACAAAAAAACAAAAACCAACAAAGGTATATTAACATCAATAACCTTTATCTACTAAGACATCATTTGTGCATTTCATTTAAATATATTTTTGAATATCTTTTAACATGTGACTTATGTTTTTATTTCTATACTCCATCAGATAATATCTGTATTTATATTCTTGTTTAAATATTTGATAAACATTAACCTGATTTGCCTTATTATTTGAAAGGCAATTACATTTGTGCAGAGTGAATAAGATAACTGTCAAGAGATAAGTAATATCATTTAATGAGTCGTCTTGTATTGTATATCCTACCACCAGATGTTTTAGATTTATTATATGTTTATCAATATGAAGTTTATTTAATAGAATACAAATCGTATTCCAAAAATCTTTAAAATAAGTACATTCTATGAAATAGTGTTGATAAGTATCTGGCACCCTACACACTGAACACAAAGTGGTATTCTTGATTTTCAATGTGAAAAGATGTGTACCTAGAAGTAATATATAATGTAATAATTTCCATCGAATCATTTTTAATTTATTGTCCTCTAAGTAATCAAAAATAGACTTTAATGTGTATTTGATATTTGGTTGATTTTTATCTGTATTTAATTTATTTCCGCCATCTTGTAAACCCTATAGGAATATCTTTACTAACATTTGGTAGAACTATATAAATATCTTTATTATTAATTTTTTTAGAAAATCATATATAATTGCACCTTGCTTTAAGGAGAGTTGTTTTTTACACTTAACACACTTAACAATAGTTTTTGATGAGTCTTCTTTTTGTAATATGTATCTACAGTGATACTTTTTCTTATTTGAATTATTTCAGTTATCCAATTACTTTTACATTTTAACTTATTTAAGATTTTTTCTTTTTCTTTTGATATTTACCTTTGTCATCAATTATGTCATTTACATAGATTATATTGTCTTTTATTCAATGATTAAAAACCAAACTATGCCCGTTTATCTTTATATATTTATTACCCCAAATTATTTGTTGTCTGATGGTTTTAAAGTTTTCTGGTTTGTTAGTTTGGCCGCCGCCATATCTTACTCACGTTTTAAGTATTTCAAAGTAGAAATAAGGGATTTTGCCATTTTGGTAATTAATGGATTTTATATTATCCAGATTCATGTTAAATATTAGTAAATTTGATCCGTACTGATTAAAGTAAAATATTGGGATAATTTTCCAATTTGACTGTTCACCTTCCATTAATATGTTCACCCATTTAATTTTTATTGCATCAATAAACTTGTCAATATCTATCATTCCAAGACCTCCTTCACATTTTTCAAATTTATTGTATTTTGTTTAATTTTTTCTTGTTTATGGTCCCAAATGAAGTCATAAATCATTTTTTTAAACTCATATAATGGATCTTTGTCGATGCTAGAAACTGAAGCTAAATATGTAATATTAGGTATAACCAGAGATTGCACAACTGTTACTTTTCCGAGCATTGTTAACTTTCTTTTCTTCCATGAGTTAAGAATGCTTTTTTTTTTAATTCATTGTAACACACCTTTAAATGCTGGTGAACATAGTGACCTTTTTATTTCAGATCAATGGCGACACTCTTTTACACACAGCTGTAAGAGGTCAAAACCTCAGCATGGTTCAATTGGTATTAGAAAAAGGAGAAATAGACCCAGATAAAGTAAATAAGGTATAGCATCCTTTGTTACATTGATTCAGTCAATCATCAAATTCAATGTCCACATATACCTTAGATCAGTTTTCAAAGTTCACAAGAAGACGAATATGTCATGCATATTCAGGACGAGAATAAAATAACAATTATACAATTTGTAGGATTTTATAATCTTGGCTATAATTTCTACCTTTGAAAGCAATCCTGGGACTGAAATTAAAATGTTCAGTGCGTCCGGCTTCTTTGCTAAAAATTCAATTGTATGCTTTTTGATCGCTTCTGTGACTGTTCTGGATGTGTATAAGTTTTAAAAAGTCTTCATTTTGGATATTGTTCTTGTAACTTAGTATTCTTGCATTGATATCCGTAGTTAGTGGTTTTGATTTTTTTTTTGTGTTTTGATTTTAGCAAAAACCCGATGCTTTCAATCGAGTTAATTAGGATTGTCGTAGACATTATTGACATGACAGAGAACATATTAAATTTTATGAGACGTTCTGGTGTCTTAAAAGTAAGGAACATTGTCAGTAGTTGTGTTATGTCATATATTATAATTTAATTTATTTGTTTAACTTTATTTGGGCAATAAGATTTTAATACAAGATCTTTGATTGTTTCCGTTAAAAGTATTCATATAAACTTTGATAGACTCTGGAGGATTTAGAATTAGCCTCATAAGCTTGTGCAATAAACAGTAATATTTAAATCTATTGTTTCCTCTTCGATGCACAGATGTATCAACCCACCATTTTTTTCTTAAAATGTCCTGTACCAAGTCAGGAAAATGGCCATTGTTATATTATAGTTCGTTTCTGTGTGTGTTACATTTTAATATTGTGTTTTTGTTGTGTCGTTGTTTTCCTCTTATATTTGATGCGTTTCCCTCAGTTTTAGTTTGTAACCCGGATTTGTTTTTATCTCTATCGATTTGTGATTTTCGAACAGCGGTATACTACTGTTGCCTTTATGTATCATCACTGGCGTGATCGTTATCTGGCGAATAGTTCCACTGAAACTAATGCTTTGACATCGTAAGTAAGCTTCATATTGAGGACTTCACCGTGTTTTTGAGATGAACATATCAATAAAAGCATTGTTTTATCGCTTTTTCATTGTGTGTGTATAGTTATTATTTTGTGTCATGAATTTGTAAATCATATTCTTTCATTTCTATCTGTATTCAAGTCAATCACTTTCGTCTCTATATAATTTATACATCCATCAATGTTTTAATAATATTTCAAATGCTTAAATATCTTGCTTTCTTTAGTGATCGATTGCATTTATGATGAGAGGACTTAACACTTCTGGGCAAAAAAAAAACTGTCCATAACAGTAACAGTCATTTTATGACTGATAATATTTGTCAAAATTGTAACAGTTGTTAAATTTCACTGTGGCAGTTTTTTTGTAACTGTTCCAACTTTGAAAGTGTTTGTCTCTTACATAAATTGACTGCAACAACGCTTAAAATAGTTGTCACAGTCATAATAGGGCTGATACAACTATTTTAAAGTTGTAACAGTTGATTTATAACTGTCCGAACTCGAAAAACGTTGCCACAATCATAAACAAACTGTTTAAACGCCAAAAAGGTTGTCACAGTTATAATACGACTGCTGCAACCATTTGAAAGTTGTAACAGTTATTTTATAACTGTCCCAACGTGAAAAACGTTGAAACAGTCGTAAATAAACTGTTTAAGCACCGAAAAGGTTGTCACAGCTAAAATATGTTTGGTACAACCATTAAATAGTCAGAGTAGATTGAAATATTTGTCACTGAACTATTTGCTATTTGCCCCTAATTTGGTTTATGTGTTAAATTATTTTACTTATTTATAAATCTCTTCTAAAACAAATTCTGAACCATCACTATATACCTGCAATTTCACACAAAATGTTTTTTACGCATTTGATTCTACATGTGAAAAAAATCTCACCTATCAGATAAATCGAAAAAGGTTTCCCAATATATTTGTAACCAATTGTATCTCTGAATGTAACAGTTAACACTTTTCAAACTTATCAAAATGCAACTTTTTAATTAAGTCAATGGTATGAAATCATTCATGCATGCAAGGTTATCTTCAATACCCGTAGTTTTACGAATCACATTACCTTATAATAACGGGCAATATACTGTAAATCATTTTTATATAAAAAAATACATTTTTCTAAATTTTCAAAACTATGATGAACGTTTAGCGCATGCTTTTCAGCTATGGAAAAAAAATATTAGATCAATTCTTATTACATTTTGTTTTTTTATATTTTTCAATAGTTTATTTAATTTCAATACTGATTCGATTTTATACTGTTTATTGTACCGAGTTGTCTATTTGAAATCCAATTGTCTTAATAAATATCACTTCACATGGCATTAATGAGGCAAAAATATTATGACTCGAATTAATTTATATTTTCACCGATTTTTCTCAACCAATTTATTATACATATTTTGTATAAATGTATTTATTATTGGATGGACATAATGTATATGACCGACACAATAACTCTCGTCAGTGATTAAGAAAGAAGTCAAAAAAATTCAAACAAGAAGACTCGCATTGTTCAATGTTTTTTTCAGACAAAGAGATCAGATCTTCTGTAATTTATTCACACCACGGTTTAGAGCTTGATGGATTAATTGTTTAGACTCTGGTCTTTTGTTGAATTCTACATGCTGACATGAAGATGTCTTTTTGTTATTTTTGTCGTTTCAGTTGATGTCATACTGACGTTTTCCCAAAACATTTATTTAATCACAGAAATGCAGTCTGATATTGATATAGTGAACGAACAATTTCCCCTTGTTTTGAAAAGTTTAAAATGGTCACAAAAATCAGTCAATGGGTTTATTATTCTGATAATATTCATCTTCAACCAGTGATAAAACAGTATTGTCAGCAGAGATTATTTGCGGGGGAGGGCTTTAGATCCTTGGACCCTGGATCATCCCTTCACAATAATAGTATTTTCATATTAATAGAATGTTGGTTCTAGTCTTCATTTTGACTGCTCTATTTGTTTTAGGTTGTATGTGTATCAAGGCTATCTGTATCACAAAAGTAAATTTACTTTAGATGTGAAAAGTTGATTTTGAGGTGGAAGAGGGTAGTTTTTGTGTGAATTTGTGGATGGACAGAAAATAGACAGAATTCAAAATAGATATTCTGACCCTGGTCTGAAAAAAAAAATATAATTTGCCAGTCTGTGCTAAACTGCTTTAGAGTTTGTCTGACCGAGTAAGAAACCCTTTCTTCCATATTTTCAACTAAAATATCTAAAATATCTAAAAATTTCTGTCTGATTGAATGATTTTTTATCTGACATTTTGTCTGTCAGACAGAGTTTGGGATACACTGATCTGGATTTTGGAAATAATATATTCTGACCTCCTCAAATTTGACAGTTTAGTTGCTAACTTCTATGTCATTTGGTCTCTGTTGGAAAGTTGTCTAATTTGCAAAGAAGTACCACATCTTTTTATTTACTATGATCTTATTAAAAACATTCACTAGTTAAAATTTTCAAGACTGTTTTCTTGTAAAGACATTCGTTTTTTTTTATGAAAGCTATATGCTGATCTCTAGATTATGGTTTTTTGTTGTTGTTGAGTTGATGTCTGATCATATCAGTTTTTCTCAATAGCACCCGTGTTATTATCATGTTTTTAAGTCGATTTGTATTTCATAAGCTTTTCTATCATGCTATAATGTACAACTGTAGTTTTAACATTGTGTATTCACGATAGATAAGCAAGATACAGCTTAATTCAAATTGTATAGCCACAAAAAGAAAATTCCAATTCTCATCCTCCCTCTTGAAACCATTTTTTGATATCATTTTTTGTATTTCTGGTTATTATCTTTCTTTTGCTACAAGTTTTCAAAATTATAGCAAAAAAAAAAAAAAAACAAAAAAAAAAACAAAAAAACAAAAAATTCAAAGATATGCTTCCACCCATGAATAACATTAAGATAAACACCTCATAAATAGTACATGATACGCCCTTGTGATGCTAATTGCGCATAATGAAGTTGTTGCAAGAATAAAATGGGATATTTAGAAGGCATTCAATCATAAGCTAAAATGGATCTGTAGAAAAAAATGCCTGAGGACATCAAATATAACAGAATTTGGTTAACCATAATACATCTGTCATCAATGGGCCTATAAACATGGGAGACACCAGATATTATCATCAAGGAATTATTGTTCCATATCCTTAACTGACCTAATTTTTGTTAAATTTGTCGCCAACTGGTGACCTCTAAAAATGTTGGTAGTCATATGGTTCTTTTCTTCTCCAATTTTTTGTATCAATCAGTTTTTTATGAATATTTTTCTTTTATGCTAATATGGTGGGTTGGAAAAACGTGACACAGGCTTATTTTTCAATGTTTTTTTGTGGCTTTCGTTTGTTTGCCGTTTATCATATTTGTTTGTTTGTTGCTTTTGTATAAAAATCAAGCTGTTGGATTCCTCGTCTTATTTTTTTTTTACATTGTGTTACATGTATGGCTGGGCCGTTTATACCTTACTATGCGGTATGGGTTTTGCTCATTGTTGAAGGATGTGCAGTGACCTATTGTTACTGACAATGACATAATTTGGTCTACGCTTAATGGTTGTCTCATTGAAAATTCATACCACATCTCCTTATTCATGTAATTTCACATTATACAAGATTACAATATTATCAAATGAATGTTAATAGTTGGTAGTCATATGGTTCTTTTCTTTTCCAACTTTTTTGTATCAATCAATTTTTTATAAATATATTTCTTTTATGCTAATATGGTCGGTTGGACCACCGTGACACAGGCTTATTTTTCAATGTTTTTTGTGGCTTTCGTTTGTTTGCCGTTTATCATATTTGTTTGTTTGTTGCTTTTGTATAAAAATCAAGCTGCTGGATTCCTCGTCTTATTTTTTTTTTTACATTGTGTTACATGTATGGCTGGGCCGTTTATACCTTGCTATGCGGTATGGGTTTTGCTCATTGTTGAA